AACAATGAAAAAAAAGCTATATCAAACTCTGTCATATACGGTTATAAACTTCAACTGAACTCAAAAGTCGTATCTAAACAAAAGTCATACAGCGTGGAAACAGAATGCAAAGACAAATCTATCATAACACATTACTCCTCTGGCAATAAAGACGGGAAAAAGACTAAAACGATAGAAACTACTAAGTTACATATAATCCTGTCAATCATGAACAAAAGCTTGCGATATCAAACAATACTTACATAAGCGCACCACACTATCATTTCAAAAAGACATTAAAAAACGTTACAAAGTGCACTCAACTCAAAAAGCGTCAGAAGTATTCCGGAAACAACACAGAAACAACAACAACTCTTAAAACGTCGATATCTCTGTACATCGACAAATCTCAAAACTCTGAAAAACTCGTTAGGGCATTACTTTCCCCATCATAATCCGTACTCATAAACTCATTAAAACACCATAAAACTTCACAAAACTCAAAACACTGTGTTGCAAATACTTGTCCACTGAGGCACGCTTAAATCGTTATAAAGGACCTCGAACGTCACTAAATATCAGTTCAAAACAAAGATCTGGGCGCATACATACATACAATTCGACATCACAAAAAAAAGGTAAGAAAAAAGATAGAAAAAGCAAACAATACATTACATTACTGAGCAATAGGGTTAGGGTTGTGGAAAAGAGTTCAACGTCTTGAGTTACACAGTGTCAGTTACAGTGTCCAGCGAGCGGTACTCTAAGCAAATAGCTAAAGTCAAAGTCTATAAGCGTCTTCTTCTTTTGTCGTCGTGTTAGTCCGGGTCGTTCTTTTTCTTCATCTTCTTGTCTTTAATGTCGCTCAATTCTTAATTATACTGTCCTATACGATATTCGTCCTTCCGAAGGGGTTCTGAAATCTTCATGTCTTCAGCGTCGTTCATCGGTGCCATACTGGTAACGGTGTTAGTCGTCGAGCGCGGTTTCGTCTCTGCCATCGAGCCAGTTAGTTCGGTTCACAAGAAAGACACATCTTCGCCGTTTCACTTCTCTTCACAGGATGTCAATGTGCGTAAAACGCAATGCCCGAATTCTCCACCACGTATCAGGGGGTAAATCTTCTTCACGGGGTTCTCCACACTTGTCAGGGGGGAAACTCGTCTCGTCTCTCTATCTCGTCCCCTTGAGGTACGGGATCGGGAAAGTCACTTTAACTTTACAGTCAAATAAGACACACACAACGAAATACGTTTCAGCTCTCGTCTTAGTCGGTCTGTCGAGCACTCTGTAAGACACAGCGCCCTGGGGAAAAGTCCCCAAGACTCTCGCAAGGCTGAACCAAGACTCGCCCAAGACTGGACTCTCGACTGCCCAAGACTGCACTCTCTCTATTTCTGCGTCTATCGTGGAGTATTCTTCAAGACCAACTCAAACTCTCTTTATTCATTTTCAAAACTCTAACCAATTACAAAGCAGTAAAAAGACTCTAAGGCGTAAACTTCAATCATAAAGCCAATCACACTAAGTACTGAATACGTCATATCTTTTGATTAATCGTTCACTACATTAATAACTATGAATATAAACTGTCAGAATCGCGACGGTTATCTGGTAATTAGTTCCAAATCACTGAGCCAAGTTCCGTCCAAAACTTCAAATAGACCTAAACGATGACGGACATAACACAGCAATTCAGCTAATAATCAGCTAATTAAGTCGGTTAACAGATACGCGAATACAAATTCATGACAGCATTTCTAGTCAGCGAAATAATCAAAATTAAAACCCAGTGAATAATTAATCCTTATTAATTTTTGAGCTGATAATAAAGCATCGGATTACATCACATTGACCATTATTATGAGTATTACCTTAAAATAATTGCTTGATTCCAGTGAATCGTTTACCATATTCTTAGCAATATGTTGTACCGCAATCGAGTGGTCGCTTTTTTCATGGGTGTCCGTTCTTCCTTTCGTATGAACGATGTCGTGATGTTTCATGTGTCTCTCTACAATAGCGATATCAATATCTGCGTTTGATGGAAATGTCTTTGTGTCATTAGCATTAAAAGTATCGCTCCACTTGACATAACTTGTGGGTAAGAACGTTCCTAGCGGAGAAGTATACATTGACCATACATAGTAAATACCACACATGAGAATCGACATCAATACTAACCAGCCTAGTAGATTTTCCTTACCCGTTGCCATTGTACACTGTCAGCGTAAGTTTATATAGTGCTTGACTGCTGTTGCGCTGCACCACGCTATCAAAACATGCGTTTTAAATATTAGAATAATTCACAGGCTGATGCACGAACAAAAACAAAATAGAATTTAAATTGAATTTATATTTTTACAGCGGTTATGGATTCCCCATTTGGAAACAGTGGCGTGAGGTGTGGGATTTTGTCATGGATGAAGAGAAAATAATTATCACGGCGACTAAATGGCGTATGAGAATTGGGAAATGTATTATATTATTAAAAAATGTCAACAGACAGCGATCCCCAGTCCCCTTTGATTTGGGGAACCCCTGAAAGCAACATTTCACCAAGTCATAAAATAGACTATGGTCTGGCAGACTGGCAGACTGTTAGATTTATACGTCGGATAATGCAGACGGCGAGATCAAACGACTAGGAATTGGTGAGATCTCACGAATTTGCGTTCACACAGTATGCTGGTTATACTTGCATACAGCCTGTGTTTCGGTGCGTTGTTTTCAATAAAATATAATCACTACTATCGTTACAATTGTGCAGCTAACATTTGCGAACATTTGTTTAAATTTTATCAAACGTTCGTATCACATATTTATAAAAACAACCGTATTGCTTCATGTTTAGTTCATTGTATTGTTTCATTTCAAGTTGCACGTGATATACTTAGGATCACCGAAATAAGTACGTGATATCGATAAGTATGATAATTATACCGATAAAAATCACCAGACCTGAAAGGAAATAAAAATATCCCGATGGGCTCAAACAATGAGCTTTTTTTCGGAGTTTTGTTACGGTAATACTAAAACTAACATCCACACAACGCAGATATATTTTGTGTCTTTTCAAAGTACTTTCACAAACCAGGACGTAAAACACAAAAGTCGAGAGTCGACACGTGCTGAAATGTGTGTGTGAACGGCCGGCACGTGTCGAACAAAACTCGACCCCGGTCCCAATAGAGAATCGGCGACGCATATTTATGTGCAGCTAGCCAGTTTCTTTTTGCAATGCTACATCGACGTGAACTATTTCTGTGAATACCTTTTTGCCGTTCATGTGCACGATGACTCATAATAAATATCGTAACAGCAAATGATTATTGTCATATGCATAACGTTTACTCTGTCAACCAACGAATCGACGAATGAGGGCGTAATTTTGGCACGAGCCGAGTGGGTCCCGACTAATGTGAACTCAACTGCTGTAATCCCTCTCCAAACCGGAAGGCTTAATAATTTCAGCAAAAGCCGAGATCCCGTAAAATGTCTTCTATGTTTATATCAAATACATTCAATTCAAACCTTTCATTATGTCTTCAAAGTCCTATGTTAATCCGGAAGTCCATTTATTTACTTATTCAAATCCTCGGGGGCGGACATCCGAGCATTTTCACCGCCTGGCAACCCGCGGCGGTGAAAACAAAGTCCCAAAACTCGCAGAAAACGGTACTTTGGGATGATTGTTGAGACTCCGCTGAACAGTGTAACAAGATTAGCCCTACGTGTGTAACATATATAAATTTGGTTGTTCAGGATTACTTCAAAGTTGAGTTTGTGTTGTTTTCTCGAATTTTCACCGGCTCGACCGGCGTTCCACAGCAGCGCGCACAGAGCCCATAGAAATGCATGTACAGTGGTGCGCGTCGTAGCAACGTGGAACGTCTTGTGACGTAGCTCCGCCCCCCAGGATACTAACTTTACCGACGTCCAGGAACAGAAGGGCGGCAACGTTCGATTTAGGCACGGTTACTAAAAACACGTGGTTTAGACATAGACCTAAACACTCTATGGTTTAGAAGGATTCGGGAAAGCAGTGTTCTAATTATGCAGTCATGGTAAATCAAACGCTACACGCTATTTGGAGCTCGCTATGGAGTTATTTACCACAGACTATATCCACCGCTTCATTTTATTCATTGGCACAGCAACTAATCGGAATACAGTGTGAGCAGATTTTTATGTAATATACATATGTATAATGAAAATAACACAATCACAGTGTTAATAAAAAAAATATTATTTCTGAATTGTATCAAACCACATTCGTTCAAATGAATGCAAGAAAGGGGTCATCAAAATTAATCGAGGTGAACGAAGCGAAATACATGCTATATAACATCTAAGGTCAATCACAGTTACCATGTACAATACATTAACAGGTAATATTAAGATGAATGATTGAGATAAATACACATAGGTTTATACAAAAAAATGAACATAGTACAAGAAATATATTTCTTTGGTTTGGTAATATATAAAATGTTTAAACATTTAGCTATTTTTATTAGTTACCTAGGACGGTTACCAAATATTGTTGTTTCACTGTGCGCTAAGCATGCTGGTAGATAGACGCCTTCAGTGGCGGAGCAGGTTCAACCATTATACGCATGCGCATGTGATGTTTGATATGAATGGATGTGAGGAGGTATGAGATAGAAATATGTTTGAAAGTCGAGGCCTTGTTAGCCTAAAATGATGAAATATGGCAAAAACTGTGAAGTCTGTAGGCGAAAGAGTGTTCAACGCTGCCAGAGACGGGAAAGTAATAACACTAGGTGACTTGTTGCACGATAAATCGTCGAATGACGTGAATAACCTGTTGTCTGAGGTTCATGAACATGGGGGGCAGAAGTGTACACCTCTTGTGATAGCTTCCAGGAATGGTCACAACAGCGTAGTGAAGCTACTCCTCGAACAGTACAAGGCCGATGCGGAGCAGGAGGGAATAGTGAAATTCAATGGATACATCATCGAAGGCGCTTCTGCTCTGTGGTGTGCAGCAGGGGCGGGACACTTTGCTGTGGTGGAAACGCTTGTTGACCATGGAGCCAATGTCAATCACACCACAGCTACAAACTCAACTCCTCTTCGAGCTGCTTGCTTCGACGGTCGCCTGGATATTGTGACGTATCTTGTGGAACGCTCCGCTGACATAAACATAGCTAATAAGTACGACAATACATGTCTGATGATAGCGAGTTATAAGGGGCACACATTAGTGGTCAAATACTTACTGGAACATGGCGCCTCTCCGGACGTTAGTGCCCACTGTGGTGCTACAGCCTTACACTTTTCAGCAGAATGCGGGCATTTAGAAATTGTAAAACTGTTGGTAGAGCATGGTGCTACAATGTCTACTAATGAACATAACATGACCCCACTCATGGTCGCTTGTGAAAGCAATCAAGCTGAGGTCGCAAAGTTTTTGATAAATCCTGAAAGGTGTTCGAAAGCTGATCGGGTGAAGGGCTTAGAACTTCTTGGTGCTTCCTATGCGAATGATAAGGATAACTATAGTATTCATAAAACTTACCACTACTTGAGGCTGGCTATGCTTGAACGTTTCGTTGACCCTAACTGTATCATTGAAAAGGAAATAATTGATACAATACCAGCTTATGAGAAGCGCTCTGAGTCCAGAAACTTGAGGGAGTTGGAGATGAAAAAAGATGATCCACATGCTCTCCATCTTGAAGCCCTCATCATTCGTGAGAGAATATTGGGGCCAAATAATCCCGAAATTCCCCATCCTATTATTTACCGTGGTGCTGTCTGTGCGGATAACATGCAATTTGACAAGTGTATATCATTATGGATGCGTGCTATGAAACTCAAGCAAGCGAATAGACGCTCAATCCAAAAAGATATACTGCGTTTTGCTCAGGTATTCTCGCAGATGTTACACATTGGTGAGAGAGTCCCTTACGCTGATATGTTTGAGGTGGTGCAGTGTGGGGTCACTGAAATAGATTATGGTCAGCAGCGCATAAAAGGCTGTGTTGGAAAAGATATTGACCTTGAAGACTCTGCAAACTATGTCGCTATCTATGAGAATAATGTTCACATCATGTTGTATTTGTTCAGTATCGTGTCACAAATGACTTGCACAATACAAGAAGATGTTAGTTTTCACAAACAGGCTTATCGGCTTATACGACTGGCACCCAGACTTTCTGATTTATCAACGCTTCTACATTTAGTGGTGAACCACAATACACCTGTGGATGATTTCCATACTAACGATGTCTGTAAATTTCCTAATGCGTCATTAGTAAAATTGTTTATTGAATGTGGTGCAAATCCAGATGAAATTGATATCAACGGCAATAGTCCACTTCATATAATTGTAAAATATGACAAACCTATCAGTGATTTTTTGAATTTACATTGCTGTATCATGTCGTTGCTAAATGCTGGTGCACATATTGACAGGGTGAACAAGGAGGGGAAGACCCCCATGCAAGTTTCAACAACAGGTGTATCTGAGATAATTTTAAAAACTCAAACTAAGATCAGCTTGAAGTGTTTTGCTGCCAGAGCCGTGAAAATGCATGAAATTCCCTACAAAGGGTGTGTTCCTAAACAGCTTGAACAATTTATTGAAATACATTGATGAGAAAATGTAGATAGTCCAAACATAATCTTAGCAGTATGCATATTGTTCATGTTATGGTGGTAGTATTTTTTCATTTCATGTGCCAGTACTGTATATTCTTGCATGTTGTAAAACGATCTTTTTGCAAATTCACTTTTTTTTCACATGAAACTAAAAATACTGTCACTCTTATGGTGCATGTAATGCTTGTATTCCTCTCTGAACTGCAATATGTAATATTACACGGTTAAAAATACAGAATCCAGAGCTGTGTTATGAGGTACATTGTATAATTCAAGTTAAATGTTTGACACCACCTGTAATCTTGCCAAATCATACCATGTTATGGTAACAGAGTAATTACAGCTCTTCGTTGTTATTGGGGGGGGGGGGTTCTAAGAACAATAAATGTTGTTTGAACTCTAATTGTTAGTCAATAAATTGTTCTATACTATACCTGTGACCCATTGATCAAGTTGTGTGTTTGTACAAGTCAGAGTGTGTTTATGATTGTAAATGCAACAGTTCAATGGGTCACTTACATCATTTTCACTGATCATGATTCCCCTCGCATCTCCTTGCATCTCACACATGCATGAATCACAAGATGAGCAACATTTATCTATGGTGTGCCCAAAGTATAAATAATTCTGAAAACTGTGTGTCAGATATGAGAATAAGGAGTGTGTATGTCTTTATACATGCATGGAATTGTGAGTGTCAATCTAGCCTTAGATTCAGAACCCTGCCTCTTACCATCATATTGTATAGTGTTTATGCAATAAAAAAAATGTACAAAATGAATAAATTGATTCATCAAATATCAGTTTCAGTCTGGAACACAATATTCCAGATTAGTCTGCAGTCAATGTCATTTTTCTGGGCCATTCTGTTTAAAATCTGATGTGGGTCGTTTTTTTTTTATTTAAAGCAAAGGTGGATTGACCTACACATATGCGAAAATTGAGTCCCAAGTGACGATTTCAATGTGTGCTAAAAACGCAAATGCTCATGCATAGATGTTTGTTTGTAAACAACATTGCTATGGCTGTCTGCTGTATGTGCAGATAACAACTCCCCTCTGCTTAACATATTACCGGTATACTGTAAAACCGTTTTCACTGGAATTTAATTTCTCCAAAATTAAATGCCATTTTCACTGGCATTTAATTTCTCTATTTTGATGTTTTGAGCAATTTCAAGTTCACAAACTTTATAGCAGGCAAATGATGAGTTCACATAGGTTTAATTTAATCAATTTTACTTAGCAAAATTAAATACCAATGAATAATTAATGTATTTACAGTATTTTTATTTTCGTGTCTTTATTTCAACCTGGGGTTTTGCGATTACCAAAAATGACATGCATATACAAAAATAATTTAATATATACATATATACATGACTATTTGTATTTGAATCTGCGACTGGGTTCTGAGGCTGGGCTTGGAATCCTCGACGAGCTGGTTTACTCTGGGTTTACACTTTTACGTGGAACGGTCGGCGCCCTCTGGAGAAACTACCACTTCGATAATAATTAACAAACCAACAAACCTCACGTCAATATATGATCGTTTGTATGTCGGTGTATGCTTCCGGTTATGAAGTTTAACATTTAGCAGGAAATTTAGTAATACTATATAACCGATGTAGTGAAATGGAAGGAAAATATGTCGAAACTATGTTGTCTTCCAACCGACAATTGGGGAGAATTGATCCTGCAAGGTGGGTAAATAATTCAAAACCATTAAGCCTTATGTTTTGCGTACTAACGGCGTGTACAAGACGGATCGGGGCTATACAGTCATTGATTCCACAGGGGATCGCATGACTGTAAAATCCTAGCTTGACACACAGTCCTGTACAACACGCACGTGTTCTTCAAAAAATGCAAGGTAAGACGAGAGGTGAGACTTGCTCATCAAACTACAAGTTTGTGGCCGGCTGTCGCGATTCACGATCTTCATAATGTTTTAATGAAATGAGCATTGAAGGTTAAATTTCATATATAACAGCATGGAGGTAATAGTAATGAATTCACATGCCATCACATTAATAATTTTGCTAATACATAGTATCAAATAGTAAGTTTATTCACCGGTACTGAATGGATAAAATTGACAAATCAAAAATACAAAAACAAGCAAAAATCAACAATAATTTTCCTTTCTGTAATTGTTCCTCAGGGCACCTCACCCATAACCCATTCCCCTTCCTCTGTTTTAAATGTAAATTAACCGCTTCTGGAGGGGCTTATACAATTGCATTGGGAGGCTGGAGTGTAAGGTTTAGGTATGGGGGGGGGGTTAACATTTTCCGTACTAGATGACTTGTGATCCTGCCTCGAAACTGAATGAACTGGCTTAAATAGATACATGTAACTGGATAGCAGGTCAACTCGACCCCCCCCCCCCCCCCATATAAGTGTAGGTATTGCCCATGTGTCAGTGTTGGTGACACACTGTGTTGTCGATTTCATTGATTTCACTGCTAGCTATTCTCTTGTGGGCTATGGCTATGTCTATTGTTTGAACAGAATGAGACTTAATCTATTCGATTAACAGCGCCAACACCTATTGATTTAGAGGTATATGACACGAGCCGCTATCGGTAGTTTTCACAGCTTGCTCAAACACTACATCTTATTTGGTGTATGTTCCCAACAAAGGCATTCTTTCATCTCAAAATTATATTTGCTGTCCAAAGTTTCTACTAATAGAGGGGTTTGGCTACACGCCAAAAGATGTTCGACATTTTAAATTTTAAACTATAAGCGTGTGCAACTGGCTGTACAACGTGATATGCCCAAACGAGTTTCGTACTACGACTCATAATGTAATTAGTAAACTTTACATTTGTATTACGCCACATTAACGTATACCGGTAGTAGTGACAACATGACCATGGTTTAATACACAGACACAGCTTCAACTGTGGGAATAGCGTACATTTTCATGAAAACATATTCTCTGATTACACATGGCTGTCTGTGAGATAGAGACACCAGTACTGCTGCAGATAGATTGGTTGGTTAACTGATTACCAAACTTTAATTTTAACGTGTCTGATCCCAATGCATAAGCAGCAATCCTCTGTAAATAGCCCACACTGTAAAGGTCACATGTAAGTGGTCAAGCTGGGCATTTCACATATTGTACATATGTCTCATCAATATTTCATTTTTTTTTGCAGACTTGCTCCGTATGTACTGCTTCTTGTGATTGCAAAATTCTTTCGTGCTTTTGGGTTGTTTCTGTCCTACGATACATTGAAGTTAGTGCCTATCGTACCATTCCTTTTCATCGTCAAAGCAGGGTAAGTGATACTTTGAGATTGATTTAAATTATTTGAAGGTGATTTTGTTGCTAATAATGGTGTGGCATCTTGTCTGCAGTTGTTATTTCTGAATGACATTTTGATTTTGGGTTGTTGTTGTTGTTGTACTGGTGGAGGGGGGGGGGTCGTAATCAGGTCAGGGCACGGAATATGATATCTCTCAACTTTGGATATATTTTGGCTTATTACAACTTCCCCAAGAATCATAGGATAAATTAAATAGCCAGCTCTGGTTATTTGTGTTGGTGTGAACTGTTTGAAACCAAAATACTTGTCATAAGAATTAAAAGCCAGTATTACTGTGACAACGATAAACGATTTCAATAATTTAAGTTGAAATTTAAATCATAGTTGAAACCTCATCAACCTGGAAGTTAAGTCACGCCTTTACTTTACTGTATGTGACCTTCAACATATGTATTAATTTTGAAAGAAATATTGACTGACATGTGCTCTTTTTCCTAGGTCTTCAATTATTTTAGTGTTACTACAAAGGCCTATATCTGCTGGTAAAAAGGTTACCAGAAATCAAGTAAGCATAACAAATTTGATGTTCTGTTGTATGAGTTCATTAAGACCCATCACCGCAATGTATTAGTATATGCCCCTCCACATACAGTTGAAATCGGGATGGGCACTAGAGGGGCAATGTTAGGACTCGCTGTTATATCTAACGCCACAAAATCAGATTTCAAGAAAATTTGTTCATACAATATAGGTCCACTGGGATAATCCACAGATGTTTTTTGGTTGAACCCCATGCATTTTAATTACCTATTAAAATTTGCATCATATTTAGCCAATTTTCAAGTTTGCTACTATTATACCATCAAATTACTTTCTTTTGCTTATTACCGGTAACTCCAATACTTTGGATCAGACTGTTTTTACAATGCACATCC